GATATTAAAATAAGAAAACAAAAGGCATCAGGAGCTTTCATAGCACTAGGGAATTTGTGGAGGTCAAAACAAATCAAAAGAGATACTAAACTAAAAATGTTTAATTCTTATGTCAAATCAGTACTTTTGTATGGGGCGGAAACATGGAGAACAACTATGGCAATTACTAGTAAACTACAAACATTCATTAACTGGTGCCTGCGCAGAATAGAAGGAATTAAATGGTATGATATAATAACTAATGTAGAGCTTTGGGAGAGAACTAAACAGGCTCTGTTGGACCAAGAGGTGAGAAAAATACGCTGACGCTGGATAGGACACACACTGAGAAAGCAGGAGAACAGCATAACTAGAATGTCTTTGCATTGAAACCCACAGGGGCATAGGAATAAAGAAAGGGAAAAAAAAAAAAACACATGGAGAAGAAAGCTGGAGAATGAAGTTAGAAAGATGGGGAGGACATGCAATGGCGAAGGATAGAACGACTTGGCGTGAGTTGGCTGAGGGCCTATGCTCCATTGGGGGATAGAAAGGCAGAAGAAGAAGAAGATGCTAATATGCTTCTGTACTTTTTTTTTGGCTCTTCTAGAGGGTTTTGGATGATACATTAGTTAATCTTTTTGCAGGTTTAAGCTACGCAATCTTACCATGTAAATCAGTGGGGGGGGGGGAGGGGGGGGGGGGGTAAAAAGGAGGCGAGCGCAAGTTTCAAGGGGATGTCAACCAATGTTTAAATTTGAGTGAATTTGTATTTGTAAAAATTGGATTTTCAGCTTTAACATACATGAAAACAAAACAGCTCTGCCAGGTTGACGTGGAGAGTGATCTCCGTTGTGCCGTGTCCAACATCAAATCATAAATAGCAGATAACAACATCACATTGATATTTGGTCATTAAATTACCAGATGTTGGTGATTGTTTGTTGCTGTTTTTCTGCAAATATCTTTACTTTGGATTTTTCCTATTGTTCTCCTTTTTTTTTAAATCACGTTTTGTTAGGGCAGGGGGAAGGGGGGTGTCTTGCAATATGCTTAAGGGGGGAAGGGTGTCTTGCAAAATACTTAAGGGAGGGGGGGGGGTCTTGCAATATACTTAAGGGGGCGCGGGGGGGGGGGGGTGCCATGTAACAAAGTTTCGAGACAACTGATCTGAATAATGAACTGTTGCACTAACAAGGTAAATAACATAGAAAAGCGAATTGATCAACTGGGTCTGGAAAGAAGAATGCAAACAGAGGTGACCAGAGATCTGGTAGACATTGAATGCTAATTTAAAAGGCGAGATAAACATATAATCATACAGTGACTGGCATAATTAGTATAAGAACTGGCTATGTAAAAATATTTATGGAGCGATCATGGGAATGCCAGGACAGATGTAATGTTTTCAAATCTTACATATTTTATGACTTAAACCGACAACCACTTTTCGTGACCTCGATCTAGAAAATGTTATCATCCTTTCTTTTTGTTTTTGTTTTTTGACAAGGACAAAGTTTGTTTGCACTAGAAACCTAATCATAAATAATTTATTTATGGAATATTAGATACTTCATTAAAAAAAAGGACTGGCAATTTACAATTCAACCGTGTTATTGAAAACTAAAGAGACAGTTTCATCATATCAGGTTTTTCTTTCTCGTTAAGACACCTCTTTGTTAGATATAATATCTCCCTTGATGCACCGGGCATGAGTTCAGCACACCGTGTTAAGTTATGCAAACAAAAAGAACATGTGGTTAGTTTCAGGCTGCCATGGTGAAAGGCAGAGTAAAACGATAGAACGGTACTATGTTACATTTCAGAACAGAACAGACTAGCTTAAAAAAGCGTACGTTTAAAAAAAAAAAAGAAATTGAAGGACCCTTTTCCACGTATAGGCATATAGGGCTAGACTTGTATTTTTATAGACCACTCGGTACATAATGGGTGATGTGGTCAGCATCACGCCGGGAGCCTTTACTTCCCGGGACTGCACCCGGTACCCACCCAACCCACATTTGTGAAAAAAGTCCGGCTCCGCCAGGTAGCGAACTCACGACATTCCGATCCGCAAATTAAGTGTAATTTAGTCACATTTCTTCCGCGCAATTATAATTTCGTCGTCGTCGTGCTCAGACCACAGGTTCCCAACCCACCATGAGCCGCGACTCCACATGGGTTGGCGCAAGGTTTTCTTTGGGGTCGGCCGGGCAGTGGTGAGCTGTACTAGTATTAAAAGGGGAGGGGAGTTGGAGAAATGGCGTCATCGTATCCTGCACAAAGAGTATTATGTTCTTTGTGCTGACACATCTCCGTGAGAGCAGATTTTAAACGCTTCTTCAGTAAAATCAAAACAAGTAACATTACATTTAGAAAAATGTCATGAAGCTGGCTTTAACGAAAACTCAAACCGTAATATTGGTAATGAGTTACAATTTCAACCATTGCATTAAATATGTCGTAAGTTAACATTATTTTGAATTCTAATATAATGACAAATCTATTTTCAGTGTGCTTTGTTTTACGCTATTAAAAAGCTAATTTTTAATTTTTCGGGTTACAGACCATTTTTTATCGATAAAATGGAGTCACCACTCAAAAAAGTTGGGAACCACTGATCCAGGCGAATTAGACAATGAGCTAATGCTATGATTCGGACGGAAAATAAAATCAATGTGTGACTGTAGTTATTCCCTAGGTTGTTTTCTTAGCTAAGTTGTAGAGTAATACTGACTATCGACCATCGCAGACGTGGAAACATTTTTCACACTAAGACATCCGAGGATGAGATAATCCTAAAAAATCTGGAGTAGTTGTTCGGATATCAACACTTTCTAATGCTAGTTTTAAATTGTTTTTTATTTCGCCCTCTTAAACGTTTAAAAATCAAACATCGTTACTGTGTTTTTACTTTCATAATTCAAGCATTACTTTAACTATTCAAACCATGCCTCGAGACAATGCAGCCCACTTAACATATGCTGTAAGAAAGTTGAACACTAAATTTCGAATAAGGTGAAAAAAAAAAAAAAAAACTTTTTTGTAGCCCTTTTATGCGTCTCAGAGGGGCATAATGTCCGCCTCGTGTGCTAGAGGTTCCGGGTTCAATCGCTGGCAAGGGCTGGGATTTTTTCACGTGGACTTCTAGTAATTCCCCCTTGTCTCTGGGTAGTAAGATCGAACGCCCGTGTGCATTGTTGCGCACGTGAAAAATCCCTTGGCAGTTGGAAATCGAAAATAGTAGCCTAACGGCGCTGCCTGGGCAAAAATTATAAACTAAAATTTACCCGAAGAATTTCAGGAACCTTGCCGGTGCAACAGAGCCTGTGCACTGTGCTGAGCTTCTTCGTGCACAGAATTGGGTTAGAAGAAAAAAAAAACGGAGCACTTATGGGTTACTACCCGTGTGGAAGGTGCAACTGAAGAACAACCTAACATACCAGTCTCTTATCAACAGAAGAAGAGAATGATCAAATCAATCAGAATGCCACCGAAACTGGCATAAGATGATTACCATATTATGGACAGACCAGAGCAAGTCATTATCCTTCGCCTTAGAACAGGGCACAATCGACTTCGCTCCCACATGTACAACAAATTTAAGATTGGCCAATCAGCCATGTGTACTTGTGGACTGGCACCTGAAACAACAGATCACATCCTTCAAGACTGTCCCAGATTCAACGCTTTCAGGCAAAACCTTTGGCCAAAAGAGACACTTGTGGAAGTCAAACTTTACGGGCCGCTTAGTGAATTACAAAAGACAGTGAAATGCATACAAGAGACGGCTTTGCAGATATAGATAATTTATTTCATGCGAACGAAAGAAGAAGAAGAAGACTACCCGTGTACGATGATGTTGATGTGTTGTTTAAACCTCAAACCTATGACTGCCTCTCAGCGTCAGGATTTGAAGAGGCATCAGGAGCGAGCCTTGGTATGTGCTACGTAGATGGTGGTATTTATGGCCTCAGATATTCTTTCTATCCATAACCACTGCCCGGCCGACCCCAAAGAAAACCGTGCGCCAACCCATGTGGAGTCGCGACCCGTGGTTGGTTGGGAACCCGTGGTCTGAGCCCGATGACGACGAAATTATAATTGCCCGGAAGAAATGTGGCTAAACTACACTTAATTTGCGGATCGGAAGGTCGTGGTTCGCTCCCCGGCGGAGCCATAATTTTTTTCACAAATGTCTTTGGCTCCCAGGTCGACCCAGCCTTGAGTGGGTACCCTGTGCAGTCCCGGGAAGTAAAGGCTGCAGGCGTGATGCTGACCACATCACCAATTATGTACCATTTGGTCATTAAAAAACAGGTCTAGCCCTATATGCCTACTTGCGTGGCTGACCTGTTGTTCTGCTTTCATTGTGTCGATGTAAAAGGGCTCTCTGTGATGTACTCTCTGGCGGGTAGTCTTGACACGTGTCTGAACCGCTTGATCTGTTGTCTATTTATGTCCTTTAATATTGGTTCCGTCCAGCATTGTTTCCTGATATTGTCATTTCTGATCCTATCCCTTCTAGCTACATTAATGATTCGTTGAGACATTTTCTTTCTGTTGTTTCGATTTGTCTTGTTTTCTGTTGTTGGTAGTGTTCACGTTTGGTACTGGTATCGCAATGCTGGTAGAAATACTGTATTGGATAGTGTTTTCTTTTTCGGTGTCAATTGCTACATGTTTGTTCTGAACGAAAGAAGATAATGATGGAAGATAAAGTCTGTTTTTTTAAATTTTTTTTTATTTCTTCAAAACTCGTCAATGAGACCAAAAAACTGGTAAATGCTGTGATAGCAAGATGGGAAAATCACGTTTGCAACAATTCTAGTCTAATTTACTACTGACACAATTTTATAAGCCTGTTTACTGCAGGGACCTTGAACATCAAAAGTAAAAAAAAATTTTTTAAACAGATGTTAGTACTGACAGAGCTAAAGATAAGGAGTTTTGCGTTTGTTAAGTAAAGCTATAAAGTGAACAGTATACTAAAGAAAACAGAACAATCTAACCAAGTAAACATGAGGTAATATCTGCAAATCATAATATTACAAAATACAATAGATGTAAACATAGATACGCATAGAGCTTTTCCCCTAGAAAAATAAAAGGTGTTGGTACTCATAACAAAGTGTCCATCCAAAACAGGTGGCGGTACTCAGCATACAATGTCTTGTTCGGTAGAACTGAAAAGCAATTGGATGCTTTAAAAAAAAACAACTGCTGGTACATCACACCGTATTATGTATGAATATTTTAAAAGTGGCCTTGCATTTTGAAATATGGAATAATTTTGCAAAAACAAAGTGAAAGAGAAAGCTGTAATTGCGAAATAAACCCGCTGCCTCCTCACAATCATGTCGTAAGAGTCGACTATTTAGGGGTGTTTCCTTTGCAGTCGGAATGCATTTGATTGAGAGGCGAGGAACCAACGGTCTGCGTACCAATAAGCTAGATACACAAAACGGTTGTGTGTAAAAAACGCATGTTTTGACGCAACGCTAATAAATTTAGGAGTATAGTTGTCGTTTACAAACAAAGATCGCGAATAAGAAGAAGATTGTGGCCTTTAAAAAAAGGCAAAGCCTCATAAATCTTTCTTAGGCCTACGGTTTTTAAGTTCTTTAGTCTGCTCTGCCAGTGATATCTATTATCTTTTGCTCGCTTCAGTATCGCGTATATCGCCTTAGAGAGTTTGCATGACTTAGTATTGAATACTCATTTTGGTCCATCTCTAGTTTGCTAAGGGTTTTTAACTTCAACGATTTACGCAAAATAGGACGATGTTATTGTATTTTCTTAACTGTTTAAAAATTTTTTTTTCCTTTTTTTTTCTATTAGTTTCTCCCTCCTCTTATTGCTTCCTCCTCTTCTTATCACAGTCTACCACCACCACCACCATCATCATCACCACCCACCACCACTACTACTACTACTACTACTACTACTACTACTACTACTACTACTACTACTACTACTACTACTACTACTACTACTACTACTACTACTACTACTACTACTACTACTACTACTACTACTACTACTACTACTACTACTACTACTACTACTACTACTACTACTACTACTAACTGCTACTACTACAAACACCACTACCAGCACAACTATAAACACAACAATAAAAACATTACCAACAACTTATGCTTATTATTATTATTATTATTATTGTTATTATTAGTCTGCCCCTTCTTCTGCTGCTTTTATATTTTTCTTAAGGAATACATAATCTGTGTATAAAAAAATGGGTGAGTTGGAAAGCGAATGTCCACCAGCTTGCGTCATCAATGTGTGACAAAAACAAAAACACATTGCAACAGTGTTTTGTGTTTTGTCTTGATATTTCATTTCTGTTCCCACCGTTGTTGCCGATATAAAGCAAGCATTCTACACACTCGAAAAACAAAAATGTCATGATATAAACATTTCTATCCTAAACAGGCTGCAGTTAAAGAGTTGCCTTTTGGCAGCGTTGTTATATGCAACCGTTGCAAGTCTTGAAGGTAAGTTAAAACAGAATGAATGACAACGCAAACGTGATAAAAACTTGTAAATGTACGTATGCTATATGACATATCAAATATGTCCGTTTTTTTTTAAAACTTGGATGTCTGGCTGCCCTAACGTGTAAATCTCATCATCTTATCTCACCTTGAATACCTCGCAGAACTTCTGCACACCCCTCTTCCCATTAGTCTTTCAGTGTATGGATTCCCTATCTGTTCTATTGCACTACCCATTAGATCCATATATCCTTCACCACATCCGCTTTATTATAAGTAGCTCACCGCTCAGAGGAGCGGCAACAGCTAAACTATCAACCTACTGGTTACCTCGCCTACCTGAATATCTTGATATGCTTTTGATCTGGTTCTAATCAAGTGATGCAAGCCATCACTCTGCGCACAGGACACGAGTTTCAGTTTTGCGAAGCATGCTCTGTGAGTCTGCTACAATTGCAACAAGGGCTGTGCTGCCTCAAGCCATTGGAAAGCTGCCGTTACTGTTTTCACCTCCATTCTCATACTAGATGTATTGTCACTGAAGGCGAGGCTCTCTGTTGTCAAGCAGTGACCCTTCACTTTTGCAATAAAACCCCACCTGCTCTACTTATCGCTCACTAAAGACCAGATTAACTGGCACCTTTCAAGCGGAAAGACCCATGCGTATATATATATATATATATATATATATATATATATATATATATATATATATATATATATATATATATATATATATATACATGCTCCCCTGTGGAGTTTCTTCTTATTGTACGTGGCTAGCCTACAAGACAACCAGGAAAGGCTGGTGACTATCGGGAAAGACCTTTTGACACCTATGTAAAGACTGCCCCCCGGTAACGCCGGAGGGGGGGGGGGGGTGGGGGGAATAAAGTGGCATCTGGAGGCAGATGTCGACTGTGGACCTGGTTGATCACCCCCAACACAGCATAATACCTCTGACTTCGCAAACCAATATAGAAGTATGCACACAGGGTCCATCGAAAGAGGGGGAGAATGATGGACCCAATCAACTTGATACAAACGGTAACAACCCTGCTAGCCCCTGGACTTCGAATCTTGCCCAACGTCCGAGTTGGCTCTGTACATGTGGAAAATGCTTCACGGAAAATGCTGCCGGTCTAAGAACTCATGCCGGAAGGATGAAATGCGAGGGTGCTCCACGCAGTAAGCGCCGTCGCAAAACTGCTACTCCTGTGGTAGTTTTTGAGTCGTTAGGGAACGGAACGACGGGCAGGGTGTACCCCACTCGCCCGGAGATGCCCATGACGATGTCTGCTGAGGCGCAAATGTGATGATTCCCGAGGAAGTGCGTTCTAAGATCAGGTTTCCACCTGCGAGTGATAAGGTGCCGTGGTGCAAGTTAGAAGGTACATTATGTGAGAAACTAATTCATGATTTAAAGAAGAAGTCGTTAGGCGATAAGCTTACGAAGTTTGGTGATGTAATATATGAGCACTGTTCCCGCGAGTTCGGGACAGTCGAAAAGACGCCGCCGGGCGTCAAGCAGAATATAAGCAGGAGACAGAGAGACATTTTGAAGTGCTGGGCAGACAAGAATGCACTCAGAAAACGGTAAAGCCGCTACAGGCAGTGAAGGGGAGGGGCTGCATGAAGTCTGGTTGCATTTAAAGAACAGACACAGTGCCCTCTGTCGCGCTGAGCGTTTCTGTAACAACAGACGAAGAACCAAATGGGAGCGAGAGAAATTCTTTAGAGACCCGTTCCAGTTTGCCCGAGGTCTATTCGAGCAACCGAAGTCTGGGACTCTGGTTGTCAGTAAAGAGGAGCTTGAATCACATTTACGCAAAATGTACTCTGACAAAAAAGAGGAATGAGCCTCTCGATAACAATCCTGAGATCCTTAGCGGCCTTAAGCAGCCTGAGTTGCCGAAGGTATCATTTAAAGTGATACCTCCCCTTTGGTCTGAGGTTGAGGAAGTTGTGAAAAGAGCCAGCGGCAAGTCTGCTCCAGAACCAAATGGTGTTCCGTACGTTCTTTACAAACGTTGCCCGAAATTGGCAACAGGCCAACGGGGTCTACATTCCCAAAGAGCAGGACTCGAAGAGTCTTTCCCAATTCAGGCCCATCTCGCTGTTGAATGTTGAGGGCAAAAAATTCTTCTCGGTCATGGCTCGCCGGCTCACACAGTATCTGATGGCGAACAAGTACATCGATACGAGTGTTCAAAAAGGTGGAATCCCGGGCGTCCCTGGGTGCCTTGAATACGCGACCATGATCTGGGAGTCTATTCAGAGAGCCAGGCATGAGAGAACCGAATTGCACGTTATATGGTTGGACCTCGCCAACAACTATAGGGCAGTTTCGCATAGGCTACTGTGGCAGGCCCTTCGCATGTTTCACGTACCGACACAGATCGAGCAATATTTCTCTAAGTTCGCTTTGCGCATCTCTACCTCGACGTTTACCACGAGGTGGACTGAGCTCCAAATTGGGATAGCTATGGGATGTACGATCTCACCAATTCTGTTCGTCATGGCCATGCAGGTCATGTTAAACCGGGCGGCCGGCTACGGACAAGGCCTTCAAATTGGGGATCACTGGATGCCGCCACTACGTGCATTTATGGATGACACGACTATAATCACGGGCAGTGGGGAATCTGCCCGCACGATTCTGAAAAGATTGGACGCGGTGGTCCAATGGAGCGGTATGCAATTCAAACCGCAGAAGTCGAGGAGTTTGTCAATCCTTAAAGATAAGGTCGCGGCAACCAGTTTTACGGTGGCAAGGAATAAAATCCCCACGGTTCTAGAGGAACCAGTGAAGAGCCTTGGTCGCGTTTACGATTCGAAGTTATCTGATAGAGCGGAGCGAATACACGAGTCACTGGCTACAGGCCTGCTCGCGATCGAGCGAAGCAGGCTGATTGGGAAGTTCAAGGTCTGGTGTCTCCAATTCATGTTGATTCCAAAGCTCCTGTGGCCGCTGTTAGCCTACGAAGTGACAATGACTGCAGTGAAGACGATGGAGAAAAAAATCAACACAGCCATTAGAAAGTGGATTGATGCACCGCCTTGTCTGACTGACGTGGCTCTGTATTGTAAGCAGGCTAAGTTGGTACTCGCGTTCAAATCGATAACCGAAGAGTTTAAAGTCGGCAAAGTAAGAATCGCCATGCTCTTCCGCGAGTCTTCAGACCCAAATGTCATTGCTGTCCAGCCCGCACTAAAGACTGGTCTGAAATTGAAGGTCCTAGATGCGATCGAATCTGCCCAGAATGCACTAAAATTGAGGGAAATTATAGATTACACTCAAACCGACTGTCGAGGCCTAGGTCACGGGAAAGTCAGTTGGTGGTCCAAAGCCACCGCCAAAGAGCGCCGAGACATGGTGATACAGCAAATAAGGGACAACGAAAACAAGGTTATGGTTCAGAAAGCAGCCGAACAGTCGCAGCAGAGCCATTGGATCAGCCTGGAGAGCGCATTGCCAAGAGTACTCACATGGCGTGAAATCTGGCGAATGACCCCGCTGAGACTGAGCTTCATCGTTCGTTCGGCCTATGATGTATTACCGTGGAATGCGACTAACAACTCGTCATGCCCGCTATGCAGAGCTAAGCAGACGCTCGAGCACGTTCTGTCCGCGTGCAGAAAAGCCCTAGGTCTGGGCCGATACACTTGGCGCCACAACAAGGTACTAAAAGAGTTAGCTGCCGTTGTGGACCACGCTAGAATGAGGGCCAACGCGAGGGCCAGTCCTACCGTCGTCCCCATACGCTTCCTCAAGGCTGGACAGATTAAAAAAGGTAGACTCAACAACGTCGCATACGCTCCATCTATGCTAGATATGTATAAGCTCTAGAAATACAGTGACTTAGCAGCCGGTCTGAGCAGGGACGAAGCGTACACAATAAGAGTCTTCGCCTTCGAAGTAGGCGAAAGCGGTCTCGTTTCCACTTCACTTTACAGTGTGATTAAACAACTAGGCTTACGATGCTATGAACGCAAACGGACACTTAAATAGCTGGGCGAGGTTGCTGAGAGGGCCTCGAGCTGGCTCTGGACACAACGAAACAGCGTAGGGGACGGGCCTCGGTGAGCTGATCCGGGTGTCTAGTGGAAAAGAGTTTCTCTACCCTTAAAGTCCATCGTGTCCGAATTGTCTGCCAGTGTCCCTCTGCCACCTGCTAACAAAGTCCAACATGTGTCCGGTAAACTAATCGTAAGCTTGCCGCTCGGTCGTTCAGGTATGCAGACTGCTTTAATTATGCTACCGCAACGACTTCTTATCTCACAGTACCTTCTGCAAAATCACCAGTTCGTCTTTTCCCTGTCCGAATAACATCCGGTAATACATGCAGCAGGGGAAACCAACCCTGAACTTCATGAACTCAGGTGGGCCCACTCTCTGAAAATGTATAGGAGCTCGTGGGCCGAAACATTTGTCGACGAGAGGTTACTTCTACTGATGATTGGTAGACCCCTGCTGTACATGGCCCCCTGTGGTGTTTCTTCTTATTGGTGTCACTTGGGCGTAAATATTTTCACTTATCAGCTCTTGCACCGCTGACTCTGTTTCACCAGCTATACATCCCCAGCACCCTTGGTCCAATGTAACTATCACTTTGTGCAAGTCTCTTTTGCTGGACGGCACTGCAACCCATTCTTTACCATATGCTATTTTTTCAGTAGCACACATTGTTCTGATAGTGACATGTGCCTGTGTCATCCAAGCCAACTAAAGTGAATCTTATCAGAACTATTTTTTTGGCCAACACTTTGCTATCAGTGCCAAAAGTGGAGACTTACATCCTCCAAAGAACGTAAAAATGCGACACCAAAGATGAAATACATTGGAAGAGCTGCAGCAGTTTTAAGGAAAGACATAATACGAAATTAGAAGAATGCTAGGAATAAAGCCAGTCTTACAGGTCATCAAAGAACAACAAATAAAGGTGTTTGGACACCAAAGAAGAATGCCTAGTACTATCTGCCACAACGATCAAAACTAAAACGTTAGAACGGGTATAGAGCGGGTGGAAAACCACGGAAAAATGGAGTAATGGCATTAAAAATAGCCTTACAGAAATGAACATAAGTAATAATAGGGCTCTTGACAAAGCTCATCAACGAATGTTACATCTCCTCCGACACGTCGATGAGGTACAAGGTGGAAGAGAATAAGAAGAAGAAGAATCCAAACCAAGCACAGTGTTGACAAATTAGTGCACTAACAACTACTCATATTTATAACCACACTCCCCTACGTGCATTTAAAATAAGGAGTAATTTTCCTACCAAAGACGACTGTGTTAACTGTTTGGTTTGGTTGGTTTGAACAACCGATCACGATCATGGCACAAGGGTTGTAACCCACAAGTGCTCCTTTCAACTTCTAACGCAAGCCTAAGTCCAAAGAATCTAAGCGCAGTGCACGAACTCCCTAGCACCGGCAGTGGTTGGTCCACTCTTTTTTTTTTTCAATCTAAATGCGGCTTCGGAACCCATGCTGAAAAGAATTTGTGTACATCCATTCATCTACTTTTTATTTGTTAACAGAACTTAGACATAGATTAATGTATACAGCAAATAATGCTTGTATATTTTCATTCTTTCCCCTTAGATGTGCCCAAGTCAAAAAGAGGTAAAATAAGTGATAATGTAAATTGTGTTTATAAATTTAACGAACACAATCTTTAGTTCAATCTTACTTTTAGGATATCACTTGCTTTTTCATATATCATCTACGTTGTAAAGATTTCTACCTATACATATCATCCGTATTGTAAAGATTTCTACCCACATACAGCATCCGTAATGTAAAGATTTCTGCCTACATATATCATCCGTATTGAAAAGATTTCTACCCACATATATTATCCGTATTGTAAAGATTTCTACTCACATTTATCATTAGTGTTGTAAAGATTTCTAGCTTCACATATCATCCGTGTTGTAAAGGACCCATTCAGTGCTATTATGCATAAGTAGTTTATGTAGATAACCCCATGTGTGCATAGAAGTGTGGTTTTCAATTTTTTTTTCATTTAGAGCCCTCAGTAAATAGCAAGATCTCTCCCCAACATTCACACACACACACACACACACAAACACACACACACACACACACACACACACACACACAATAGTAATTTAACAAGAGGAGAAAAAAACAAAATTTCCATGAACTATAACCAGCAACAAGGAGAACAGGATTCACATAAATCAAAGTGTAAAATTGTTAATTAGATTTTTTAACGATAGATGTACAAACTGTTCATTAAAAAAAAAGTTCTTCTTTGCTTTATAAATAGTTGTTAAAATGTTTTATTTATCTATATTTAAGTTAAAACTGTTTATGTTTAACCGATTATTACATTTACAAATGCACTCAATTGCATTGACTTCCCCACCTCTTGAAACTTTCTTGAGCCCCCCCCCCCTTTCTCTCCCCCCCCCCCCCAACCCCCGGGACGCGCCAAGGTTGAAAACCACTAATATAGTTTAAAGCATGTGGCCCACCTACTATACTTCCTCGAGCTATAAATAGACTCGGACAAACAACAATAACAACAAAGTTCTACGAACACATGTCGAGCATTTGGGTGAGTGCTTTGCAATGCACTGTGCTGCCGCGGCTTCCATATTTTGATGGAAGGAAGACAAAAGCGCTCAAAGTCATAACAGTTCGTCAACTTTGAAATACTAAGGCTCAAGTTAAATATACTTTTTACAATACAGTCATAGATCGGAAATTTTTTTATTGGTATAAAAAAAAAAAAAAAAGTATGGTAGCATTCACCTCCTCTCTGCAACGCTTTACAGCATAAAAAGTAGGACACAGGAAGTGATAAGTATGGTATAAGTAAAGTAAAAGACCCTTTTCCACGTCTACAGGCCTATCAGGCACATAAGGGCTAGACTTATAATTTATACACCAATCAGCACTCTATGGGGGATGTGGTCACCATCACGCCGACCGCCTTTACTTTCCAGGTATTGCACTCAAGGCTGGGTCGACCTGAGAGCCTAGGTAATTTAAAAAATCAATCCGACTCTGTCACGATGAGTATGGTAACGGCTAATATTGAATTATGTCAAACAAATTTCAAACGGGAATGATCCTGAAATGTTACTGAAGTGCTTGACAAACGATACAAAGGCCAACATACAGAATCCGAACTATTCTGAATATATAAAACAGATTCAGACTTGTCTAGATATCGCACTAGAATAAACTACTTTTTCAATGTTTCTACTCATTACTGCGGAAGTCGCCGTGGCTTAGCGGCTAGACGCTCGAGTGCGGATCGGAATGTCGTAGGTTGGCTCCCTGGCGGAGCCGGTTTTTCAAAAATGACCTTGGCGCCCAGGTCGACCCAGCCTTTAGTGGGTACCGGGTGCAGTCTCGGGAAGTAAAGGCGGCTGGCGTGATGCTGACCACAACACCCATCTTGTGCCGATGGGTCTTTTAAAAATATAGGTCTAGCCCTATATGCCTACAGGCGTGGAACATGGACCTTTACTTTACTCATTACTGGGAGTCACAAAAAAAAGCAAAATAATAACGCTGCCTTATTACGCATGGTAACGCCACAAAAGTGGTTGGTGTGAGATTGAAAACAGCAGCAAGAAAATGGAAACCGAAACAAATCTTGAATAAGGAATCGACATCACAGCACTCGTGACACTCCCATAAGCACTCTGAACCCATCGTCAGCAGTATGCATATGTAAACCAGTCATGAATAGGTCTACAAACTGACTAACGGTTTGAGGACCTAAAAAAAGATCCCTTTTTGCGCCTTAGATGCATCGGACATATCGGAAGAGCGCCCATATTTTACAGACCAATTGTCACTCTGTGGGTAATGGGGTCAGCATTTCGCCGGCCGTCTTTTCTTCCCCAGGACAGCAGGGGACCTATGCTCCACTGATATTACCAAATGCAGAAAAAGACGAGTGCGTAAAACATTTCCATAGCAAACATTAGTAAAAAAAAAAAAAAAAAATCTACAGGTAATCTACCTAACAGTCTTTTACATGTATTTAGCTCTAATATGGCGGATAACATAGTTATAGGTTTCTTACTAGTGGTAATGTTTTTATTTTTAATTTTTTATACTGTGCCGAAAATCTCATTGTGTGATCAAGGGAGAGACTAAAATACTTACTCATGGGCAGCTTCAAGTACAATGAAGACGCACTTTTAATCGAACTAAGCTTCGATTAGTTCATGTAGTGTGGCCTTAATCATCATATCTGTCCACATCCTTTCTGTCTCGTGCACTGTCAATAATATATTAGAAAGATTTTTGGTACAAATCACGGTTTCTGGTCCAGAAACAGAGTGACTTCCCTTCCCATTCATGATTTTGCCGTGTCCATGTTGCGTGGGTGTTATGAATGGAAAGGGAAGTCACTCTGTTTTTGGGCCCGAAAACGTGAGTTGAACCATTTTTTTTTTCATGAATAATATTCGAAAGATTTTAACTTCATCTCTCTTGATCTATCATCCATTTCTTCTCCAATTTTTCTTTTATAAAACTTAATGCTAGTTTCCTACGTTTTATTATGCTCGGAAAAAAATGTAGCTTGTAAGGGTAATTCGTTTTCTTTGTAAGTTTTTTTTTTTTCAAAAAGCAATTATATTAAATATATAGTTTTAAAATTCTTTTAATATGTTTTTTTTTACAAATCTGCAATAGTATTCTCATAATTCTTAAATCTCTGCAGATTTCCACATGATTTATCAATACTTTACTCGCTGTCCATGATTCATTTCCGTTAACCAGAATTGACTGCTTATTGCTGACACTCTCTTTCTCCCATAAATGCTAACCTCAAAATGCGAAACCCCGTGTGGGTTTTGGACCTAAAGCCCTAGTTTGAAAGAAAAAGAATAGACCCATTGCCCCACATCAAACATGTCGTACAATGCGACTAAATAGAAGTCTCCTTACGGTGCAGCTATCACAGCCTAGCTGTTAACCACAACACAGCGTGCCAACTTTCCTTTTAAGGGCGAACGCAGAAGAAGAAGAAGAAAAAGAAGAAGAAGAAGAAGAAAAGAAGAAGAAGAAGAAGAAGAAGAAGAAGAAGAAGAAGAAGAAGAAGAAGAAGAAGAAGAAGAAGAAGAAGAAGAAGAAGAAGAAGAAGAAGAAGAAGAAGAAGAAGAAGAAGAAGAAGAAAGAAAAGAAGAAGAAGAAGAAGAAGAAGAAGAAGAAGAAGAAGAAGAAGAAGAAGAAGAAGAAGAAGAAGAAGAAGAAGAAGAAGAAGAAGAAGAAGAAGAAGAAGAAGAAGAAGAAGAAGAAGAAGAAGAAGAAGAAGAAGAAGAAGAAGAAGAAGAAGAAGAAGAAGAAGAAGAAGAAGAAGAAGAAGAAGAAGAAGAAGAAGAAAGAAGGAGAAGAAGAAAGAAGGAGAACGAGAAGAGGAAGAAGAAGAAGAAGAAAAAGATAAAACTACAAGAATAAACACATTTTGCATTTCAGATTCCTTAACCGCTACCTTGCAAGTAAGCAATCTACAAAAGGATTCATTCGAAGGGGCCTTCGACTATAAACTAACAGAAGATTACGTTGGTTGGCAAGGCACGGCCACTTTCAATGTCGATGTCACCAGTGTTAACGTACGTATCTGAATTAAAAATAATGTTCAAAAAAAAAACTTTAATAATTAAAAAAATAGCTTAAATGAATGCTAGAACATGTCCGAAATTTCCTGGAAATTTTTAGGAAAGGCAAAGAGGAAGAGAAATAACAACGATACTCTGTAAGGCATATTGCCAGTCTGAATGCCAACCGACCACAAATCATTTTCTAAAATATTAACACAAACCGTCGAGAGGCATTTCCCGCGAAGTACATAGCTCACTTACACGAAGCGCTTAACTCAGCAGCAGGGCAACGAAACCGTAAACTCCAGTCTATGTAAGTGGAAAATGAATATTGATTTAAGAATCAACAACATAGTACACCCAGCATACCCATAGATGCTCCGTCTCATGCAGCAAATGTCTTCAAATGATGTTAACTGTTGCCGCATCACACTGATAATACACACGTCGTTCTACTCCTCTCATACGACCGTACTTGCCGGACACATTTCTAATTCCTCGTTCACACTTTCGGAACTATTCAAATTCAAAAACTGTTTTCAGTAATTTTTGGCAAAATTAAAATACTCAAAATTTTAAAACAATAAATGGTGGCCCAAAAGACGTTGTGTATGGAAGCTCGCTCTCCTTCGAGATACGCCTAGCCAGATCAAAGGAAGACAGAACAAACAGAAAACACCAAGAAAGAAGAAGGAAGACATGCACCAGTGACAACAGGACGAGCGGTTTGATTCGGGTGGAAGCATCAAGCCCAGAAATGGCACAAACACTAAAATTCAGTCACGAAAGTGACGCAAATAACCTAGACCACAAATATAGGCGGAGACTGCTAGTAGCCTAGGCTAGCTAGCAGCAGTCAGAACGTGGTCGAGCTTTTCTTTTTTTTTTCTCAAAAGGACTAGGACTTGGACTTCACACATTCTTACATATGTTGTTTCATCTAACTTCGTGTCTTCTATCAATATTTGTTCATACATGGTTTTTCACAATGTCTTCCTTGTTCTTTAGGAGTGTTCCAGTAGCTTTCGCCTTTGTAGCCAAAAAATCGGCTGTTTCATTCCCTCGCATATCCTGTATATCTACATGATTCCCTACAATGTTATTGTGCTGATGCTTGATATCCATTCATGCCACATTTGTTTATTTTAAACCTCCAGCAGTACCGATTATTGATAATCAGTCACAGTTTTTCATGTTTACTTTATTATTTTTTGCTATCCACCTCAGATCCGCAGTGACTGCCTTTATTTCTTTCCTCATGCCTGGTTGTAGATTTTAAAAAAAGGCTCAGTTTTGTTCTGCCACGATCCTTCTCTTTATTCTAGCTGAAAATCCCCAGCAACATCTTACACTAGAATAAACAGAACCATGGGGGTACACTATTGCATCATGTTAGCCCTGTGTTTTCATCTATCAGATGTACTTCTAATTCTGCCACACTGTTACGCTACTCTCTACATTCCCTTCCTAACGTAATAATGTGAAGAAAAAAAAATCGCCCCATTTTTTTTAGGCGTATACGGCATATAGGGGTAGACCTATACTTTTATAGACCAGTCGACACAAGATGGCTGATGTGGTCAGCATAACGCCGGCCGACTCTACTTCCAAATCAAGGCTGGGTCGACCTGGGAGTCAAGGTCATTTTTGAAAAAATTCTGGCTCCGCCAGGGAGCGAAACCCACGACCTTCTGATCCGCACGCGAGGGTCTAGCCGCTACGCCCCTGCGACTCCCAACGTGACAATGACCTGATGGAAACTGCTGTTGTGGGTGTTCATGTCGACCCACTTCTGCACCATGTGAATTTGCTCGACTGAGGCAGGTGCCTCGATGGTATATCAGTTATTGTCATCCATGACTAAGCACTTTTCAAGCGGTCTCCTCTCAGATCTTTCAGACTGCCATGCAGCGGATGCCTTTTATCATTGGTGACTCGGATATAGACCTTGGCTTGCGCCAATGACAGTCTAGACTTTACTGGTGTCAGTCCAAGCATATACCTCATTGTTACTAATGTGTGTATCTTGTGTACAGCTCAAGATGATTCTCATTCCTTCCTTTTGAATTCGTTAAGTTCTGTACACTATGAAGTAGACAGGGTTAACATTTCTAGGCCGTTATCAATTTCTGAAAGGACCATATGGTTAAACAATAAGACCAGTAGTCAATGTTCCATGTTTGTCATCACCATCCTCTTCAGTGACGAAAGGCAACGCTTGCCTTTGATCACAGTCTGCTCTACGTGATATTTGTAGGACAAACTGCGATCGAATGTCAAACCCAAATATTTCAACGTGTCCATTCATTCGACATTTATACCCTTCATTGATTTGCTAGTCAGGCTGCCTTCCCAGTTTTGTTATTTAAGGAGCGCCACAAGACTAATGGTGTACTTTTTACCTGTCCTTTCACACAACCCCGTCGTCTCATGAAATACACTTTATAAGACTCTGGTCGTGGCGTGCCTATCTGATCTGCTTCAATACGTTAGAACATCATCTTCAAATGGTCCAGCGGTCCAGCTTGGTCCAGCGGTGTGTATTTTCGAAAATACTTGCTGAATATATGTTGAACAAGGCAGATGACAACGATGATCCTCGAAAAGGCCTGGGTAAATGCGTATTTAAAATCTGATCCCCATGTTTCCATCTATGAGCGACAGGGGACCATGGTCAGAAATAAACACCCAAATGTTTTAAAAACCGGCTGCCTATCTGTCATACTGGGCTGGAGGTCCCATGTATTGAGATGTATGTCTTGTATTAAGGACCTTATGATTCTAACTGCCATACGTCATCTATGTCTCAGTTACTAAGAAACTACAAACATTCACTAAGTGGTGCCTGCTCAAAATAGAGGAGAGATTATATGGTATAACAGAATCCCTGTTGTTGAGCTTTGGGAGAGAAGTAAGCAAGTCCTAGTTAACCAAAGGGTGAAGAAACGACGCTGGCATTGGATAGAGCACACTTTGAGAAAACCTGAGAACCATATAGCTAGAATGTCTTTGCATTGGAACCCACAAGGGCCTAGAAATTTAGACCGGAGTAAAAACATGGAGAAGGGTAATTTTAAAAAGATTGGGGGAAGATATGGTGTGAGCTGGATGCAATAACAAAGGATAGATAAGGACGTGTTGTTTGAGGGCCTATGCTCCATTTGTAGATAGAGGCAGAAGAAAGAGAAGAAGAAGAAGAAGAAGAAGAAGAAGAAGAAGAAGAAGAAGAAGATGAAGAAGAAGAAGAAGAAGAAGAAGAAGAAGAAGAAGAAGAAGAAGAAGAAGAAGAAGAAGAAGAAGACATCGTGTCTCGCTTTTAACGATGATACTTTAATTACCCATCTTTCAGATGTATGAAGGCGACTCCGTCTCCCATTCATCAGACGGAAAAACCTGGGTATTTGTCAACAAGAATTACAAGTCTGTCTACCCGGCTGGAACCTCAGTGGATTTCAGGTAGGCGCTACATACAAGATGACAGGGCCCGGCTCGCTAGCGTAGTTAGCTAAACTGGATTGCGCGGTGACAGGGTGACAAACTCCTTGTGGTCCGGGTTCACGCCTGGGGGTAGGCAGAAAAGCCACATTTATCCCAGATTTACGGTATTTACGATGGAATCAAAGCCGAAGGGTTGCGATATCCATAATACCGAGCCTAAAGGTTAACAACTTATGGCTTCTGGATACTAAAACAAACAAACAAACAAGATGACAGGATTTGTTTCCTTAAAATGTTTACTGTAAGGGTCCAGTGTAATGCACAGTTAAGATAATAATGTTGAAGACTGCACATTTATTTAATCACATTCGTTAGTTTCTTCATTGATTATTTGAAGACCTCAGCCTCCTAACATGAATGTGACTAAAGTCTACTAATTAGGGTCTTGTTTAAATAAGGTATGCTGGTCCCTAATGCACAAATGCCACTGCCTAGCTGTTAACTACAATACAACACAAGGTGCCAAAACGCCCTGTTAGAGGTGCACGCAGAAAAGAAGAAGTAGTAGTAGAAGAAGAAAAAAAAAAAAAAAAAAAAAAAAAGAAGAAGAAGAGGAAGCAAAAGAAGAAGATGACCACATGAGTACCGTATGGATAGGCAAACTTAAGGTAGAGGCAGCCCGGCTCTCTAGCGTAGTTGGCTAAAGCCTTAGGGTTAACAAATCATGGCTTCTGGATACTAAAACAAACAAACAAACAAGTTAAATGCATAGACTGCTGATGTCTAAGAATAGATTTATTGTCAATAGTATAACAATTCCAAGTACTGACGTGTACTTGTGGGCTAGCACCATGGCCTTTTCAGACCATTGGTCACCCGTTGGGTACTGTGCATGGTTTTCACCTCGACTAGGACTCCATCCAATGGCCACTGTGCCCAGACACAATTGCTTGCAAATGTTTTTTTTTTAATGATGTACATAGGTGATGCTGGTATGCTGGAACACCACCATAAGATAATTAGTTTAAGTTAGTAAGTTACGTTACCTTTACATGACATTGCATAACCAGCGGTCTGCATCTAGGTGAATTTACGTCCAGTAGTTTGTCATTATTGACTGGACGGTCGGCTGCTCCATACCATAGTCTTAACAAGGCCCAAAGTTCGCAGTTAGGATCTAACACGGCATCCCGGCATTACGATGCGCGTTCGCAACGCCTAAGCCACAGACTCCGATAATTACATGAACTTTTATCCAGCACTCACACACACACACACACACACGCACACACGATCACACAGACATATATACAAACACACACACCCATTCATATGTATGTATGTATATATATATATATATATATATATATATATATATATATATATATATATATATATATGTTATTTTGTGTGTGTGTTGATAGTGTGTATGAGCGTGATGGGGGGAAAAAACCCAGCTAATAGAGAAAGGAAAAGAGAGAGTTATGGAAAAAAAAATAACAGAGAAACAAGTAAAATATTGCTGCCATGCAAACAAACTGATTTAATTGATTTGACTTGATTCAAGAATCGACATCACAGCACTCAAGGCACTGCCATAAGCGCTCCGTCCCCATCTTCAGCAGCCAGCGATGAGTTCCGATACTAATGGTGCCAGTAGCATTATGATTAAACGTCCGTCTTGCCTTTCCTCTGAGCCTCGAGCATCTACCAGAACCTCTAGTCACCCCCAACTGCATCAATCTCACCAGACTGTGGTGATCCATCTGCACCTCCGAATTGTGCACGCTCTCCCACAAAGCACTAACCACATCTGCCCTATCATGTATCAGTATTCCACCAAGTTGTGCAGAGCCAACCAGTATGTCCGCCTGTTCATTTCCCAACACACCGGCGTAACCCCCGAGAAAAAAAATCCAGGTAATACTCCTCACTCGTGTCCTCCGCAGCGAAGCGTGCCACTCTGCACTCTGCAAACAAACTAAATCGTGTTATAGTAAAAAAAAAAAAAAAAAACTTGAGGTAAATGTTAAAAACAAGCTAGGACAATATAGCAAGTGGTATAAATATTAGGAGCATAAGAGACTGGCAGACATTAACTAGAAAAGGGTACAACCGCGGCGAGAAACAGAATGTTAGAAATCCATTTGTGACTATCTTCAAAGAAAGCATCTGATTGGGGAGGGGAGGGGGTGCGTTAGCGCAGTCGATAAGAGGCTGGCTTTCAAATCCAGCTGCGACTCGCTGCAGTCCACGGTCGGTGTTCGAAACCGGGCGGCTCCCGGAGTTCACCCAGCCTCTAGGAAATGGGAACCAGAGTTGACACTCTTGGGTAAATGGAGGAACGTCGCTGCAGTCACAGAGGGGGTGCGTTAGCGCAGTCGATAAGAGGCTGGCTTTCAAATCCAGCTGCGACTCGCTGTAGTCCACGGTCGGTGTTCGAAACCGGGCGGCTCCCGGAGTTCACCCAGCCTCTAGGAAATGGGAACCAGAGTTGACACTCTGGGGTAAATGGAGGAACGTCGCTGCAGTCACAGAGTTACGTGCGAACGGCGACACAGGCGGACAATTTCTTATCAGCTGTCCGTACTGGTGGCAGAGCAGTTATGGTTTATAACCGTGTACAATGACGCTGGTTCACATCTTCCGACTTTACTTTTACCTTTAGCATCTGACTGACTAAATTTGTAATTTGTCAGGTTTCAGGCCAAGTATACTGGCTCGGATCCCAGTGGACAGATGGTACTGGAGAATATGGGTCACGACCCATGGACTGTGCCCGAAGCTCCTAACAGTAAGATGCCCATACATTTCATCATCATCATCATGATGAAGCAGGTCCTTTGCAGAACGTCGCTCTCATCACGGTCTGCCTAAAAGAAACGCGGTCTCTCGCCAGCTCTCTCGCCTCATGTACTTTCACACTCAAGGAGTCACTTATATCCTGTGCCCATCTTTGTGTTAGTAGACCTCTGTCCCTCCTTCCTGGTACCATGCCTTCTGCTATAATTTTTTCCAATCCGTCGTGGCGCTTGATATGACCAAAATATGTCAGCTTCTGAGACAGGATGCTGTTTATTAGCCAATCTTCCTTGATGTTCAGATCTTTTAAGATATCAGTATTTCTCTTCCTCTTTGTCCAACATATTCTGAGAATCTTCCTTTAGCATGTCCATACATTTACTTTCTATTATTTCAGGAGTCTTTGTGTCGAAGTGGTTAAGCAGTTCGGCTCATGATCTAATAGTTCCTCGTGTGGATTCTGGGGCCTAATTTTGGGGGAAAATAGAATTGACCTACAGCAACTTAACATGCATGTCGTACAAGGCGACTAATTAGGGACATTTTGTTCAAAGTTGGAGTACATAAAGTAAGCTAGATATGTAAAACGGATGTAAATGAAAAACTCAAGTTCTTGAGAAGGGCCAAAGTCCAGAAGTGGTCGAACACCAGAACTTTCTGACAACCCGAACTTTCTGCCGAAGTTTGCAGCCGGTGACCACTAAGTAGAAGAAGCAGAAGATCTAAAAGTCATGGCTTTGATTAGGGTTTTGGGTGTGCAGTAGATTCGCATTAACAGCATTATGGGCCATCGGGCACGCCAATTTGCTAAGGCCGCTACGACAACCAATTACAGGAGTAACTTGTAAATGGTCGATAATATTAAACATATATTTTATATCTATGTTAGTGGCACTTCAACAAAACTAGAGTTAAAGCATAAACACAGATTAAATTGCAGTGTATGACATTTATCATCATCATCATCATGTACCAGGTCATTTGCAGAAGGTCGCTCTCATCACCGTCTAGCTGAAAAAAAAAAAAAAAAAAACTCGGTCTCTCGCCAGCTTTCCGGCCTCATGTACTTCAATATTTGAGGATTCACTTATATCCTGTGCCCATTTTCGTGTTGGTCGACCCTTGCCCCTTCCTTCCTGGTACCATTCCTTCTGCTATGACTTTTTCCAGTCCGTCATGGCCCTTGATATAACCAAAATATTTCAGCCTCCGAGACAAGATGCTGCTTATTAGCCAATCTTCCTTGATGTTCAGATCTTTTAAAATATCAGTATTTCTTCCCTTCTTTGTCCATGGTATTGGTATAATCTTTCTATAGCATTTCAGCTCAAAAGCTCCTATTCTTTTTCTTAATGAAATACTACGTACTTTTTATATAGCAGGTCATTTGACATTTACACATCAGCAACTGTCGCTTAGGCTCGTAGGGCCCCGGGTAAGTGCCCAGTGAGACCATCCATCCTAGTGTACAGAGTTTCAGATATCTAGGGAGCTACGGAGTGTCGTGCGTTATGTGACGCTCGCGGGAGGCTACTAGCCACCATGCAGAGACATCTCACGCTCCATGCAATGAAGTACGCAAGCAAACAATTGAAGACGCCATTGCACACGAGAGTTGCATCAACCATATAATGCTGAATTCATTTTCGAAAATGGAAGCTGCCGTGGCTAAGCGGCTAGACTCTTGTCGCTAATTCCGGTCCTGCGGAACCGGACTTTTGTTTAATGACCTTGCCTCCCAGGTCAGGCCAATCTTAAAGGGCACCGGGTGCAGTCCTGGGAAGTAAAGGCGACTGGCGTGATGCTGACCACATCATCCACCAAGTGCCGATTGGTCTAAAAAAAATATAGGTCTAGGCCTATATTCCTATACGCCTAATGGCGTGAAAAATAGACCCTTACTTACTTATACTTAATTAACTTTCACTTTCGATAATTAAATGAAGTTTCTCTTTATTATAGCTGACGATTCCAAGTACAATTACAACGACATCATTTTAAGTCACTGCTCTTCTACGAAGCCCAGAGATCGGGAAAACTTCCCGCAAACAAACGCATACCCTGGAGGGGAGACTCGGCCCTCGATGACAAGGGAGATAAGGGGGAGGATCTGACCGGAGGATGGTTTGATGGTATGTATGATAACATACCAAATGTTTGCCTAACCGTACAGGAGACACTGAGTATGTGATGTTGCAGCTATAATTCAACAACATGGTATCCACCAGATTATTTGAAGGGCTTTGTGCATATTTAGTTTAGAACATTCACTTGTCCTGCTTTTGTTAAGTGAATGCAGGGATAGTTCATAAATATCTTAGTATGGGGACTCAATGTTTTTATTTTCAAATCCCATCCCGGCTTATAGTCAGCCGCTTGTCGGATGCAATTTTTCGTCATTTCGAAGCCTTACCCTGGCTTTTGTCGGGGCACTAAATAAAGCCAGGGCATTAATATGACCTAAAGGCTGCAAAGAGTTTCTGGGACCTCTCCAGAGGTGATCCTCATTCACATGGTCGCACTTTGTGTCAGCGGGTGTTTATCGCTTGTGTGATGTCCTGGTGGGGTACTACTACTACCTACCTAACACCTCGGCTGTTGTCAGGGGACCTAATATATCCCATATGGACTGACTAGGGTTACTGGGTCCTATCGCCGGGTGATCGTTATCCGAATGGTGGCACTATGTGTCACGCGGTGTTTATCTCTCTCTCTCTCTCTCTCTCTCTCTCTCTCTCTCTCTCTCTCTCTCTCTCTCTCTCTCTCTCTCTCTCTCTCTCTCGGTATGATGTCCTGGTGGGATTAAACGCCAACCAGTTATAGTTTACAGTAAGAAACTAGGTCTGGAACTAAATTTTAAGAAAACGGAAATTATGGTCATCACCAAGAAGAAAGATATACCACAGTGTGAAATACATGCAGGTGATAACATTATTAAGCAAGTTAATAGATACAACTATTTAGAAATAATCGCTACATCTGACGCAAGTTGAATTTCAGAAATTAGAACAAGTTGCCTTTAGTAAGATGCAAAGAATCTCACTAACAAGAAGATGTAATTGCAGTGAGGGGAAAAAAAGAGTGCTAAAGTTCAATGTAGAACCTGTGTTATTATATGCATGTGAAACATGGACAATAAGTTTTTTTTTTAAAAAAAAGGCTAAAATATTTACTCGCAGCAAAGATGTGATTTCTGAGAAAAATGCAAACTCTATCATAGAAGGATAGAAAATCAAACGAAGCAGTCCTCATCGAGAGAGATGAAAGTCGTAAACTTATAAGATCAATTAGATATAGTCAATGGCTTTGGGCATGTGATAGGAAAAAATCCAGTCGAAAATTTGGTAACAACCGGCACAATTGATGGAAAGAGAGCAAGAGGAACGAAAATAGATAAATACCTGGATGGCCTGGCCAGTTGGATGGGGCGGGACAAAAACATTGATCTGATCCGGGATGCTAGTGATCCTGTGAGATGGCGAAACATGACATATTACTCTTGCCGGCACGGATATGAGGATGATGACTTGATAAAGGATATTGTCAACATCATCCCGATCGCTTTCACTTCCTAGCTTTGGCCTTATACTTATGAAATATTACTTTTTATCGGCATTTTTATTCCAAGATTAAACTACCAGTGCCAGACATGGTCTAAAGCCCATGCACGCAAAATCACCACCTGCGAGATGAGATGATTGAGAGAAATCTAACCATCTGAGATCGAGTGAATAATTACACTATCAAACAAATTATGGGAACGACACCTTGTACTAGATTCATCGAGAAACAGCAGATCAAGTGGTTTGGCCATTTCCTTATAATACCATCCCAAGCACTACATCTCAAAAGATTAGCTACAATAGCAAGAGGATAGCTGCAGAATCATGGATCGACAACATTAAAGACGCTCTGCGTCTTTACGGCATGACAATAGCCAGTGGCAGACCGCGTGCACTCGATCGAAAATTATTCCTCCCCACGTCGCTTAACGGTAGAAGTGGTTTATAATGATGATGATCCGGTTGTTCAATGATCTGTCTTGTATTTGTTTCCAGCTGGCGATCACGTCAAATTTAACTTTCCCATGGCTTACTCTGCCACGGTTCTGCTCTGGGGCTACCTGGAGTTCCCCGACGCTTACAAAGCTGCCGGCCAAGACGATTACTTCCTGGATGGAGTCAGATGGGCGCTGGATTACTTACTGAAGTGCCATACAGGACCTGAGGAACTCTATGTCCAGGTATGGTTCAGTCAAAGAAACAACTAAATTACGCGCGTAATAAATTTACTCTTAAGTTGAAAGACTTTAACTATAGAAACAAGGAATAAACTAATAATAAAACAATTCCATAGTTAATAAAAGTAATAGATATTTCATATTAATATGTAATACATGAAATTTTAAAACTTGTAAATGCCTTTTTTCATAAATTAGTCTCATGTCATATAATGTAATCGTTAAAAAAAAGAGTGACCCCTTTAGCGCCATTTCTGCATGAAACAGTTTTGCTAGAACCAATTTTCATATGCCAACTGGTCCCTGTATTTCCCTGTACCAGTTTTAGGCTGGGTCGACCCGACAATTTATTTAAAAAGAATAATCTGCCTGCTGCTCATTCGAACGCAAACCCTTCGGATAGCCAGGCAAGCCTCTAGCCACTTGCTAGAGCGATTTTCGGACATTGAGGCTAAGTAGTTAGTGATTAGTGAGGCTATTCATCTTAGAACTCTGGACAGATCTATACCTACTCCATGCTTTTCATCAGAATCTCCACCAGTGAAGCATGACTGATGACGCGTATTCTGTGTTGATTAATCAAAAATCTTGATCCAATGGGAGATTGTCATTTCTTGCGACTCCGTTCTGTTTATCAGCTGAACAGCGATACGAAGTCACGAAATTGTCATTTCTTGCGACCCCGTTCTGTTCATCAGGCTGAACAGCGATACAGAGTCACGCCATTTACTTTCTTCGTCTTCGCGATAAGTGCTGCACGTGGCCTCGATAACATCGCTTCTGTCCAGTACCGGTCCAGGCATAGCGACCGCAAACTCAACAAGATAATCGGAACGCTCGTTGCCTCGAACACCCGCATATCCGAGCGCGAAGATAGAAGTTTGGCCAGCTATTCGCCGTGTGTTTAGTGATATAATCCTACTTGTCTGACGAACCCAGTCTGAATGATCTTAACAATGAGGCATTTTCATTTTACGAAATCTGTTAAAAAATATATATTTTAGGTTGGAGACGCACAGCTCGATCACAGCTACTGGGGTCCGCCTGAGAAGATGACCATGAAGCGTCCAGCTTTTAAAATTACCGCTGCAAAACCGGGCAGTGATATCGCCATGGAATATGCTGCCGCTATGGCGGCTGGCTATTTAGTTTTCAAGTCTAAAGGTATGTATTAGCTTTTTCTTCGCGTGCGTTCCCATGTTTGGAGTCGAGAATAGCACCACTGCTTTTCAACAAGCATGTCGTACTAGGCGAATAATAATATAAGTTTAGTTAAGAACGGAAAAGAAGAAACCATATCAATCAAAGTATATAACTCAAAAACAAACTAGCGAATTTAAACATCTAGGGTCATTTTTCACCCCAGATGTAACAATGGATAGATAAATCGACATACGATGTGCAGAAGCAAATCAGGTTATTATTTAATTAACATAGCTTTTTACGCAAAGAAAGATATCTCTGTCAACCAAAGCAAATCCCATAAGAACTGTTTTTTGACCGACATCATGCTACTAGTGCCAAACATGGACCCTTATTACAAATAATGAGTGGAAGATAGTAGCAACAGAAATGAGATGTCTTAGAAAAGCTGTCGGTATGACAAGAAAAGATAAAATTAGGAATACAAAGATCAGAAAAAGACTAGGACTGAAACCAGTCATATAATTCATTAAAGAACAACACATGAGATGGTTTGGCTACCTGACAAGAATACCTTAGTGCCAACTGCCACAGAGAGCCACGTTGAAGAAATATAATAAAGACGGAGCAAGGGGAAGACTACGCAAGACATGGAGCGATGCCATCCGTATCAGCCTAATGAACACCAACTTGTACAATGCATCGGAAAAAAAAGGCAAAAACCAACCTTACACATCCCCCCCAACACCTCGCTGAGGTCAATGGTGGAAGAGAAGAAAGAAAAAGAAGTTGAGAACGAAAAATTTTTTTAGCTGATATTTTGGAGAGCGTAGAATGGGTCAATTGTTGTTGTTGTTGCTTGCGTTCACCGGCTATAAACTCCAGGTGGAAAGAACTGGTTGCTCGTCCATTTCTGGACTTTGGCTTTGTTCCAGGACCTGAGTTTTGCATGTGCATCTGTTTTACAGATCTGACTTTGTGTGCAGATTGCTGGTTCCTTGTCTCTCAGGCAGATGCACTCCGACTTTGAAAATCTACTGATTCAGTCTTGAAGTAAAAGAGTAAAGATCCCTTTTTACCTTTAATGGGCGTATTGGAAAAGCACCCACATTTTTACAGACCATCGCCAATAGGTGGGTAACGTGGTAAGCCGTCTTTACTTCCCCAGAACATCCATCGTGGTACCATTTTAGGCTGGGTCGACCTGCGGCACCCCATACCATGATAAAAATCCACGTAGCCAGCAGTGGGTTTCGATCGCGGTACGATGGAACTATGAGTCAGACTCGCAACGCCTAAGCCACGGACGCCGCCAGTCACATAGTATAAACTGTGAAAACAGACTTTTTCTGTTCTTAGAGCCAGTTGGCTGTTTCAAATTTATAAAGTCTGGATTTTATATTGGGAAGAAAATGTGGGCGTGTTCAGGGCTTTACTTTTCGGCATTCCAGGAGCTGACATATGATGGTTAGGTTAGTGCGACGTTAGTCTCCCCAAAAAAGAGTAGGTCACTTTTCGTTCACATGTTTGTTGGGCTGGTCGACTTTCATCAAGGTTACTGGTGTGCCCCGCTTTGTTGTCTGGTTTCTGTCTTGCATTTACGTTTTCATTTCGAGAAAGACAATGCCTATGACATATGTTGCAGCACTCTCTAGAGGGGTTGTGTTAGACCCAGTTCTTCCAGGTTTTTATAGTATTAAAAGCGCTGACGTGCTAAAATATACAAAAAGCGATATCAACGGCATTGCGGAACACCCCCGCAACCGTGTGCGAAGGTCACGGGGCTAAAAAAAAACCAACTAATCAGAAGTGAGCTTTTGTGTCTATGGGCGAGGTCTGGAGAGGTTAACGTCGAACTAACCTAATATTACATAGAAGGGGAAACATAAAATTTGTTTGTTTTCTATGTCGTCAATAATAATATAATATTGCTCTTAACCAACAGACAGCGCGTATGCAGCGACACTTCTCACACACGCCAAACAACTTTGGGAGTTTGGAAATGAACATCATGGAAAATATAGTGACTCAGTCCCAGAGGCTGCAGGATTTTACAGGTTTGCTAGCTTGCAACGATTTTAATTGCGTCGTTATAATTGTAAATAATTTAGGACAAAGAGACTGGTATCAGTCTTCCTCTAGTTCCTTCTTTATCATCCATACTATATGTCCTGGTAATTCAAAAGATTTATGCCTAATTTTCTATGGAATAATCAGCCCAACGCCATACATATATAAGGTTGGCTACCTTATTCTGTAAAAACAATAGCCACAAAAACCGACCAACCATGGATAAGTCAAAAAGAGAAGCAAGTAAAACCCAGCCAACCAAAATGATGGGAGGTTCTTTAAGTAGAAGAAGTATGACACGGTGTAAAAAAAAAGCAGAAAGGAGTCCGGATCGTCGACATACCTCTTCTCAACTGGGAAAGCTTGCAGAATTTGCACCTGGAATGTTAGAATTCTCTATGATATAGGAAGAACGATGGAAGTGAACCCGCAGCGGCATATGGATAAAGGAAGGCCAAAAAACACACGAAGGAAGCTGGAGAATTAAGATAGAAAGATGGGGAGGACATGGAGAGAGCTGCATGCCATAGCTATGGATATAACGACTTGGTGTGAGTTGGCTGAGGGCCTATGCTCCATCAGGGCTAGGAGCTCAAAAAAGAAGCAGAAGAAGAAGAAGAAGAAGAAGAAGAAGAAGAAGAAGAAGAAGAAGAAGAAGAAGATGAATGACTGATATTGATAATTACAAGAATGAAATAAATGAATGAATTAATGGATAAATAAATAAATACTGGCAGTAGAAAGCGTCATCATTATAATCATTTTGTTAAAGGCGATGTTTCGTCAATTAATATATATATATATTCTGTCATGATTAAAACATTGCAGCTCCAACAACTACACAGACGAGCTGAGCTGGGGATCTCTCTGGCTACACCGGGCAACAGACGACGCCAAGTATCTGGCTGAAGCTGAGAGATGGTTTGACCCAGACCCCGCCTGGGGAATGTCTTGGGATGACAAAACTATTGCAAACCAAGTGGGTACATTTTTAAGTGTTTTACAAGTTGTAGATGAACAGACTTACGAATTGTCGGCCGCATGAGGGTTAGGTGTTTGATATCCACACACCGCATAAATATATATGATTGTGTTTGTATGAGTATGTAATGTTATCACAATCGACATCAATGCAAATTGGGCATTGCCATGGGTGCTGAGTCCTCCAATGCAGCAGTCACTCCAGGATATTATGACCCTACTGACTGTTTCCATGATACATCTACTGACTGTTTCCATGATACCTCTACTGACTGTTTCCATGATACCTCTACTGACTGTTTCCATGATACCTCTACTGACTGTCTCCATGATACCTCTACTGACAGTTTCCATGATACCTCTACTGACTGTTTCAAGGATACCCCTACTGACTGTTTCAAGGATACCCCTACTGACTGTTTCAAGGATACCTCTACAGACAGTTTCCATGATACATCTACTGACTGTTTCCATGATACCTCTACTGACTGTTTCCATGATACCTCTACTGACTGTTTCCATGATACCTCTAATGACTGTTTCCACGATACCTCTACTGACTATTGCCAGGATACCTCTACTGACAGTTTCCATGATACCTCTACTGACTGTTTCAAGGATACCCCTACTGACTGTTTCCAGGATACCTCTACTGATTGTTCCCAGGCTACCTCTACTGACTGTTTCCAAAATACATCTACTGACTGTTGCCAGGATACCTCTACTGACTATTGCCAGGATACCCCTACTGACTGTTGCCAGGATACCTCTACTGACTGTTTCAAGGATACCCCTACTGACTCTACTGACTGTTGCCAGGATACATCTACTCATAGTTTTCAGGATACCTTTACTGACTGTTCCAAGTATGGCATTGGAGCATACTCCACTGCAGCCAAGTCAAATCTAAACAAACTAGATAAGATACACTAGTCTCAGAATCATCACCATGGGTGTGAGAAGCACATCAGTCAGTGAGCTGGAGGCATCTGGTGGCCTTCATAACTTGAGTCCTCAAAGAGAAAAAATGGTGCTTACCCAGAGGGAAAGTTTTAAAACGTATGAACAACCACATGCAAACAACTGTAAATAACTTAACCAAAAACCGACTGAAAAGACAATGCTTTCACCTTCTATGAATTTTTTTTGTTCCTAAAAAAAAAAAAAAAAAAAAACGTACTTTCTAAAGACCCCTCAACGTAGGAAATGATCCGAGCATACAATAATATGCCTTCTCAACAACAATCCCAGGTATAGACAGAAAGGCTAAAGCATATGACCTAGTACTTTGAACATATCTACAACTTGTACCCAAAACCCATATAGACACACATATGCACAGAGAGATTATTTGAGGGAGCAGGAAAAAAAACAACGGAGTAGCAGACTAGGTCATTATGCTGCAAGATGGAACCACAGCAGAAACGTCATGTGTCTCTGAATAAACTATCAGCAATCTTCAGAGCAGAGCAGCAAACAATTATTGATTCAACCAAAATGCTCGAGAAAAGAAACATTAAAAAAAAAAATTGTTTTCCAGTTTGACTGCGTGTCAGTCCTCCAGGCGACTCAAAGGGATCCACGAAACAATATGGAGAGAGAACGGACCCACCAGCTAAACTAAACAGACTCAGAAAACAATCAAATCGTTCTTCAGTGGATCCCTGCTCACATCGACATACCAGGAAATGAAATAGAGGACAGACTTTCGAAAACTTGAACAAACAAAAAAATTACATGCCCATTCATTGTTATTACCAAAAAATCAAAACACTTATCAAGGGAAAAAATGCAAGGAATAGAGAATAAAACAAACCAACAGTAAACATTCCACAAACCCCATCAGCAGATTCATCAGAAAGAGAGCATACAACAATTTTCTGCCCACGAACAGGACGTTGCAAGCTCAGTTATCACATGCATAAAATAAAGAGAGTACATTCCATACATTGTGCCTGTCAGACAGGATCACAAACACATGAGCATATACTGCCAACTCTATCTACAACTTCGAAAATAAAACTGGCCCGGGGGTAGGCAGGAAAGCCACATTTTTCTCCCAGATTTAAGAGCAAAGTGTGCAGAGCAAGCTATGGCTTCTGGAACCACAAACAAACCTACAACTGCAGAGAAAACTGGACATGAGAGTTCAGAGCAAAAGGCAACCATTATGGACCTGATGGTCTGAGTTCCTGAGCAGGTCTGACAAAACCTAACGCAAAGAAGAAGAAGACACAGAAGACGACACTGACTTGCTTCCTCGGGCTTCATTCCGAGTGTGTTTGTGTGAGTCATATGTTCTTTGGGAGTGTAGGTTTTCCTTTACTGACACAGTTTAAGGGCTTTTTTGTTTCCTCGATTATCATTAACATATATTGAGAGAATGTCAGATTACAAAGGGGTAAAAACTATATGCATAATGAAGTTGAATGTCAGTAGACCACAAGATAGATCAAAAGATGACAGAGATATATTATCCAAGCAGACCTACAAACACTCAGAAAGAAAAGGACAATAACAGAGACGAATAGAGGCGGGTGATATCCGCAGCAATGACAAGAGCTCGAAATGCCGAAGAAGAAGTCAATAAAGAAGCCTTTAATTACATTTATTCTTCACGAATGACTCATATAGATATCATCATTATCATAATTAGGTGCGTAGCCAGCTGGCATAGGCGTTCATGCATCTCCACAGATCTCGGTCTGTGGTGTTCTGGATCAATTCCGCTGATAATATTCCTCCATGAAACAGTCTTAAGTCACCCATCATCATTTCTCTTGGTCTGCCTCTGCCTAACAGTGATATTTCCGATCGTCACGATATTTTCCAGTGCTCTTTTTCTCATCACGTGATCAAAGAATTATGTTCTATAGTCGTGTGTCCTTTACATAATCAACCCCAGTATTTTCTGTCCTTTTGTGATTTCTTTAGTCAATTTTACGTTCAGTAGTTTTGCCATTGCTACTAAACGGTCAGCACTCGATACCACTGTTGAAACCAACGTTGCCCGGCTCTCTAGTGTAGTTGGCTAAACCGGACTGCGTGGTGACGGGGTGACGAACTCCCGGTGGTTCGGGTTCACGCCCGGGGGGTGGGCAGAAAAGCCACATTTCTCCCAGATTTACGGTATTTATCATGGAATTAAGCCCGAAGGGTTAGGATATCCATATTACCGAGCCTAAGGGTTAACAACTCATGGCTTCTGGATCCTAAAAAAAAAAAGGATCTGTTGCCAAATCTTCGCATCTGGAATCGAACCTGACAGCACGATACTTAGAAGCGTGTTGCGATGTCAAAGCCACAGACGTCGACAGATTCTAGTAGGTAAAGTAGTAAAGCGTGTGAGTATGACTCACGTTTTTATAGATAAGTCAGCGCTCGGTGGTTAAGTATGTTATTTTATTTATTGCTTTTGTCATTATATTTTACATTTTGTAAACACAGATAATCCTATACCAAACTACAAAGGATGAAAAATACAAAACAGCCGTTGAAAACAGCTATAAAAGCTGGTTTCCTGGAGGGAAAATTCCATATACTCCCAAGGGACTGGCTTTCAGACTGCAGTGGGGGTCTCTGAGATACTCTTGTAAGTTGTTTCTTTGTCTGTGTGCTACGTAAAAAAAGATAAGGACAGGAGGAACACACTGGGACACAGAAACGGAAAGAGCTATCTGTCTTTGAGGAAAGGAATATTAAGCATAGGTAGTTCCAAATGCAAACACTAATAAACGATAAAATATAAATGTTATTTATCAACATTAAACAGAACTTCATTAAGATGGAAAATAATGAAAGCTGGAAAACAATGTCTTTTTTTTTCAATTTTATTACGTCTGAAATGTTTTCTCCTACTTAGTTTCTTAAATTGCAAAGTCTTTGATCAGATTATTACATTATTTGTTGTTTATTTAATGGATCACCATCATGGCACAACCATTGGGTGCACTCTATAAGTGCTATATTCTACTTCTAACTCAAGCCTGAGTCGGAATAATCTCAGCGCACTGCAGTAACTGCGTTGCACCGGTGAGGATCCTGAAATACTTTGGCAAATTTTTAACTTCAAATTTTGACCAGGCAGCACCGTAAGGCTACTCTTTTCGATTTTTAACTGTCAAGGGATTTTTTTTTTAACGAGCGCAACAATGCGCACGGGTGTTCGATTTTCACTATCCAGAGACCAGCTGGATTACTAGAAGTTCAAGACCACGTTAAAAAAAATCCCAGCCCTTGAACCCGGAACCTCCAACACTCAAGGCGGACACCATGCCTTGAGATCATGCAGTCCCCCCTCTTGTCATTGTTAAAAACCCTGATGGGTCATGTTATCTTTCAGCTAACATGGCTTTTGCTGCCGTGATTGCTGCTGAGGCAGGAATAATGCCCGCAGACCATGCAGCTTCCCTTCCTTGTCATTGTTAAAAACCCTAATGGGTCATGTATCTTTCAGCTAACATGGCTTTCGCTGCCCTGGTTGCTGCCGAGGCAGGAATAATGCCCGCAGAGTTACGTCACTGGGCAATGTGTCAGCTCCACTACGCTATAGGAGATACCGGCTTCAGTTTCGTCATAGGTTTTGGTGACAAGTATCCTCACAGTCCGCATCACAGGGGCAGGTAAGTCTAGCTTTGTGTTCATTATATCTATCCCAGTGTTGAGCAGTAATTTCACAAGTACTGATTAGCACTTAGAAAATGGTGGGAAAGAAATGAGCAATGTAAATTGATTATCATCATAATAATCACAAAACACTTTCGCGGTTAAGCATCGTGGGGAGGGGCACGTCGACCCAGCCTAAAATGGGGATCAGGATGTATGTCCTGGGGAAGTAAAGACGACTGTCGTAATACTGACATTACCCACCTAGTACCGATTGGTCTATAAAAAATATGTGTGCTCTTCGGAGGCGCCTAGAGGGGTGAAAAGTGATCTCTACTTTAACGATTACTTATCGTAGATAGGAATAATAGTAAACTTTGGCTGCCACTGGCTACTGTCACAAAGTGAAGGCGTAGAGTGTCTTTAATGTTGTCGATTCATTTTTTGCGCGACCGTCCTTTTTTCTCTTGTTGCTGATCTTCTTAATGCCCGTGATGGTATCTGATGTTGCACCATTCTAACAAGATGACCAAGCCACTTGATCTAATGTTTCTCGATACATTTTCTCGTAATACAAGGTGTCGTTACCACAATCTGTTTGGTTGTGTATCATTATTCACTCGACTCCGATGTCTAGGTTGGCGGATTTTCTTATTCATCTCATCTCGCAAGTCGTAATTTAGCGTGACGATTAGTTCCTATGTGTCTTTTTTGTTTAAAGGTGTGTACTTCCGGTCAGTATGACGGATAGGCATTTCAGTGTTTTTAATCGTGGCAAACGTTACCTTTGACAATACAACAGTTACCTGTTGCATTTATTTTCTGCTCATTCGTTTTTCTTTAATATGCACCCCCCCCCCCTCTTGTTCTTCCTTCATTTGTTTCTCCCTTTATTTGTTTTGTTCTAATTTAATTTCTGTTCTCATTTGTTTTTCTTCTATTAGCAATTTTTCTTTTCTCATTTTCTCTCCCCCCCCCCCCCCCCCCCCCCCCGTTAGAATCTGTTTTTTTTTTTTACGCCATGCTTTTTAGGGAGCAGTTAGTCGATTCCCTGCACCTCCACTTTCTTAATGGGGCCCGGGACTTACACGGTGAATTTTGTTTCGTGTGATTCTTCCGACTGGTTTTAATTTGAATTGTTTTCTTATCGTATGTTTTGCCCACAGCTCTTGCCCTATACTCCCCGCTCCTTGCGGCCCAGACCTGATGAGTACCTCAGTACCAAATGTGCACACCTTGTTCGGAGCTCTGGTGGGCGGACCTGGTCAGATGGATGACTACAAGGATGACCGCAACAATTACGTCAACAACGAAGTGGCCTGTGACTACAATGCAGGCTTCCAGGGGGCTATTGCAGGTGGGTGGCGCCGAATACAGACATACAGTTTTTAATCTTGTAAATCCCTAATAAAGAAAATCCACCTTATTAATTGAGCTTCACGATTTTAGTAGACTATGGTTAGTTAGTCCCCGGTACAGCGGCTAGACGCCCACTTGCGGATCTGAAGGTAGTAGGCTCGAGTCCAAAAGTAACCTTGGTTCCCAGGTCTACCCAGTCTTTAGTGGGTACCAGGTGAAGTCCTGGAAAGTAAAGGGGGCCGGTGTGATGTTGACCGCATCACCCACCGAGTGCCGATTGGTCCACAAACTATAGGTCTAGCCTTCTATGCCCAATACCCAGGGGTGCCGCGAGCGTATTCCAGGAGTACCGCAACAATAATCAAGAATGTTTCCAAATTTGCTTGAGATTAGTGAAGACAGCAGTTTAAAACATCATACCGTGAAGGAAGCAGAGTTCTGGATACAGGTGTATTCAGAAGACAGTGATGTTGTCAAGACTTCAGTGCATTCTCAGTGTACGCTTACGTAAAAAAAACAACAACAGATAAAAGAGTAAACTTTCTGGGTCAAGTCATTTGAAACTAAAATTAACTAAATGTCCCATATACATAAAGAACATAATGACAAATTCACCAAACAGTTTCATTCATCGCATTAAAGACAACTGAACATTAAATGTACACTGTATTTTCCCGCTTCTTTTCCTAAGTATTCAAACCACTCTAAAGGTAGGTGTGCCCCGAAAAAATATGTGCCCAAACAAGGGTGCCGCGGCGATACAAGTTGTAGAACCACTGGTATAGATAAACAGATCCCACTGGCGAAATTGTCAGGAAGCAACTGTTGAAGTTTTGATTCTGCAGGATCTGCTGCTACCCAGTTTACATTTTGCAAGGCTACATAGTTCTCTAATTGTATTTTCTGCTCGCACCATCTAAATCTGTTCTCTTATCAGCTGTACCCAAAACTCCATGAAGTAGGTGCTCTTCTATCTGCGGCTTGTCTAGTTCATGAACTTGATTGCAGTTCTTATAGTCTGCTTGCAATAGTCTGCAGTTCAAGAAGGTACCGCATGAATTCAACTTGGGTATCTAGTGTACACCCCAGACTCACCAGAATCACCCGTATGGCTTCTTTCTGTACGCGCGTTCAAGTTTCGCCAGCTGACTCTTTGATATGGTGAGAATTCCAAGCCATAATCCAATACCAAGATCATGAAACATTGAAACATTATGATCATTAATCTTTGCTCATAGTTGCATCCAAAGTTTTCTATGCGATGTGAAACAAAGAAAAACACATACATACACACGCGCGTGCACATACACACACACATACACACGTGAAATAACTATTACTATTCTATCGTACTAAGAAATGCATAGTCTTGCTCTGTATTTTTCATGTGTAGCGGCTGCGTTGGTAATTGTTCTGGTTGCATTCTTACTAGATGACCAAAAAATTTGATCTTCTGTTTCTCAATGTATTTGTTGCATGGTGTTGCTCCTACAGTCTGTCTGACAACATCATTTGTAACTATGTCTCAAATGGTTAAATTGGCGGCTTTTCTGAGACATCTCATTTCAAAGATGTTAATTTTGCGAAGGTTAGCCTTTAACAATGTCCAAGTCTGGCACTGGTAGTCCAGTGGTGGTATTGTAAAGTAAAGGACCCTTTTCCGGCCGTATACGGCATATAGGGCTAGACCTATATTTTTATAGACCATTCGGCGTAAGATGGGTGATGGGGTGAACATCACGCCGGCCGCCTTTACTTCCCGGGACTGCACCCGGTACCCACTAAAGGTTGGGTCGACCTGGGAGTCAAGGTCATTTCTGAAAAAGAGTCCGACTCCACCAGGGAGCGAACCCACGACCTTCCGATCCACACACGAGCGTCTAGCCGCGATTACCCTAGTAGTGGTATGAACATGTTATTTATAATTCGTTTTTTGGCGCTCATACTTATGTTTGGATATCTTAATAACGGTGTCAGTTGGTATATGAGTGCGCTGGCTCGTTAGCATCTACACATTATTGTATGTAGGAGACAAAATACACTGATTGTATTGTTCCGTATATTTTGTTTTCAGGCCTCAAACATTTGATACTGACCGGAGAGCACCCAGAGAAGACCGGAAATGCTGCGTGCCCTTTTACCTCTGGACGCTGAAACTGTTGTTGGTAGCTACCCCTAAACCACACATTAATGCTTACAGTTCTAGAAATTATTTTCATACAATCGGGTAAAGGAAAATGTCACATAATAAAATGTAATTCAAATACACACGTGTATATATGCTTTGAGTCACCAATAAAAGAAATTATCTCACACAAACGATCTTAACATATTGTTATAACTATGTTGTATTGTTAAATTGAATGACATAATCATTACTGTATAACTTTTGGGGATAACTAAGCAAGTTCTAGTGAATCAAGAAGGGAAGAAGGGACGTTAGCTTTGGATAAGATAAACACTGGGAAAACTTGGAACAGAATGTACCAAAAATGCCCTTGCAGTGAAACTTCAGGCAAGACGAAATTAGTGAGGTGGCTGGGTGATCCTGAGGCATGGAAAATAAAAGAGCAGAATCTTCAGCTTCTTCTTTTCTCTTAACCTGGAATGCGTCAGGGCAGGAAGAGATCTCTGCAACGGACCCTTCTGTTCGCTTCTTATAACGAACTTTTCAGCGTCTCTTACCGTTGTATCTGTATAACACTGCTATTTGTAGTACCCTGTCCGATGCCAGTCTTGTTATATGGCCAAACCATTTAACCTTTTGTCTACCTAAAATGTTGGCATTCAGGTGAAAACCAAGCCATATGGATTATGCATCGCATAATAAACTTCAAAGAGACTCGTGACCGTCTCATCTGAAAATACTGACAGGGAGAATGAAAATAATAATAATATAAAAAAGAAGAAGAAGAAAGTGGGGAGGGGGGCTGGGACGAACCATAGGGGTTCCCTCAAGTACAGGTGGGCAGTTTTGAATGAGGAGAGAGAGAGAGAGAGAGAGAGAGAGAGAGAGAGAGAGAGAGAGAAGAGAGAGAGAGAGAGAGAGAGAGAGAGAGAGAGAGAGAGAGAGAGAGAGAGAGAGAGAGAGAGAGAGAGAGAGAGAGGGAGAGAGAGAGAGAAAAAAAAACAAAGACAGAGATATTTTTGATATATTGTTCGTACCTTTCGCAATGTAGTTAGCAGATTAAAATCACACTTTTAATCACAGGCTGCTTACTTTTTCCACGCACACATACATAGTATACACAGACACACAAGAGATACACACACACTCGCGCGCGCGCTCACACACACACACATTCAAATGTAATAAACAATCAGATTCGTCCTACTCATCAAAGAACATTTTACTGACCAAGGCTAAGGAACTGGCGACCCGCTAGTAAATCTGGCTCCGCAGAGACCTAGCAAGTGGCTCCCTGATCGTTACCAGTTGTATTGTATTGAGGATCTGTCTATGCTGGGTGCAGGATCTTAGATCCCTGGCGATCCGTATTTACAAAACGTAGCGCCTGCGTAGACTAAGTTCACTAGTCCTGTGTTATTCTGTAGAGTTCTTTAATAATATCTTACCCCAGATGACGTCACAGGACAGTCCAACACTTTAGAGGATGGTAAGACTGGGTTTCCGGGCTTTCTGATGCTTTCAAAGACCCCAAAACATCTAGAACTGGCCCTAACCCCAACCCACATACGTCCCATGGGAGATTGTAGCCTAGGTTCCACGAATGAATGCAGCCTAGGTCCCACGAATGCATGCAGCCTATCTACCACGCTTGAAATATTAGACTGTCCCGTGACTTGTGGATTTCCCCTGTTTAGGGTAGGATATTAATAAAGCACCTTCTGAAGTTTGGTTAATCTTCTTACACTTTGGCACTGAGTGAAAGGATGGACTGAATGGAAACTTCTACAAGCAGCAATTACTCAGGACATGTATTTTTGAACTAAAGACTTTCGGTACCAACGATTTGACAGAATGGAAATAGATAGCATCTTTAGCTTCAAATAGTAAAACAGATAGGGTGTGGCTAGGAGCAGAGTAAAACAGCTAGGAATCTTTGTGACTTACATACGAACATTACTAAATACTGTCACTATAATCTGTTCCAGCAGACGTGCCCAACTTAAAGGGATGTATAACGCAGTAACATTTTGAGTAAGTTGTTACAAATAGGCATGCAACCTGTTCATAATTATGTCCTTGAAAAACAAATGTTTGTTTTCTTCAAATGTAAACGAATATCCAGTTTTTATTTCGCCTTTTTTTACTGTATATAAAAAAAAAAAAAAAACAGATACCGATTCAAAAGAAACAGTCAGTATGTTTACGGTTAACTGAGAAAGGGGAACTTCTCGAAACGTCAAACTGCGCACGTTTGCAGTGTGGTCATAACCAGCATTAGCCTCCTGTGAGTTACATGAATGCTATTTGTCCTTATAGAATGGCTATTTAAAAAAATCACCACGCATCTGTGCACATGGGAATTCATTTCCAAATAATCTCCATTAGAGTGTCAATTCAAGTGATATATATTCTATTTTTATTTTATTTTAAGTAATATACAAATTGTTAGTCAAGAAAAGGAAAAAAAAATTGCTTTAAAAAAATACCAGTAGCATCTGTGCAATTGTAAATTATAAAATCATAAAGAAATCAGGAATCTCTAAGACCACATGAGGATATTCGTGTACATCCTTAAGAAAGTTTTCGAGACATTTGTAAAAGTGTGAGAGCACAACTTTTGAAATGCACTTTAACAAGTTTCCAACAGCCTACTTAGAACAAATGTTCACCAATGCCTGCTGTTCAGACTGCCATAGAGAACACCACAACAGCCTCCTTTCTGCTTCATAAGGCAGTGGTGAAAACAGGGAACCAGAAAAGGAAAACTTTGATTGACCTTTTCGTCTTTACCTAATATAGTGTTATATTGGGTTATAGAGAAGCATTTGAAACAGCCAATTAGGGCCAGGGAGGAAATTAATCAATTCCAGACTACAAAATCCAAGTATTATCGTAACGACAAGTTGTTGAATATGCAACATGATACGTCTTTCGGTAGCAACAATGCATTTGGAACATAGTCTGCTGCATAATCTGCCTGATCTAAAGGGTAATGTTCGATCTGTCTGCCTGTCAAAGTTTCCCTATAGAGCTTCTGCCAGCTAAGGCTATATAGGCCTGGTCTGCCCTACCGTAACTGTTTTCAGAGTGCATTTGCTCGTCCTAGCATAATTGAGGTTAACCCCCTCCCCCTTTTTTCCATGCACTTCTCATTCTTAAATTGTTGGTACAGGTCTGGTTACGCCATCCAACATTCTGCGATAATAGAGACAATACTGCTGACAACAGTCATACGGACGCTCAGTCATATAAGTTAAAAACTAAAACGAAGAAAACTTTTCGGAACTGTATATTTTCCCATGTCTACACAACATAATAATATTCCTAAAATCAACAAGGATCACAGATCTACACATTGTGTGTGTGTGTGTGTGTGTTTGTGTGTGTGTGTGTGAGAGAGAGAGAAGTTAGGCTTGATAATAGGCTCACCCTTAAGTAAAATTGAGTGAAAAAAAATCAAATCCAAATCAAAAAGCATACGAAGTCTCAGATGGAAAATACTAGGGAGCCATTATAAAATCATGAATGCTAGTCTACACTAGAGCAGTTAAGCCTGTTATGCAATAACCTCAGTCTCATAGGCTGAGCCGCGAAAACTAACTCGGTAAACCTATACGAGGTTCAAAATATGACCTTACGAATATCAAACAGAGTAGTAAGACAGTATACATTTTTTCCTTGATTGAAAAGCTTAAGAGGCTTTCAAACCATCTACTGAACCATACATTTCAAGAAGAAAAGCTGTGAAGAAAAAGTATAAATCATTTTACAAGAGAAATCTTTACACAGCATGCAAATATAAAACTGTCATAATGATGTGTGAAGATCTCATACCAGAATTATTGCTTAACTGCCCATTCTTTTTCAGTGCATTCCTTGAAGATCCAAGCATAATCTCCAAACAGAACAGACAAAAACAAAGAGCCTTTTCACTTTATTTACTAAGAAACCAGTCTTGCCTCCAGAATTTGCACAATTATATTTACAGATGGGTTTTGTAAAAAAAAACACAAATAGGAGGCGGCCGAATCTTCATTATATACACTAACTGCAAGACAGAGACCAACTCGATATCGGAATTGGAAGCTTTTACCAACTTCAGAGCAGAGGCAGCAATCGTCCTTCAACTGAACAGACTTCATACACTCCAGTTTGGCTTTAAAAAAAAAAAAAAATCAGCTTTCATATTCACATACGTAAAATCAGTTTTCCAAACAATCTTACGCTCTAAACAGGACATCATCAAAATGATGTGCACACGAATAGAACCAGTTAAGCCTACTGATTCCCAGAAATTGAAAAGCTGAGCTTACAAAGGCTACAAGAAACATTATGCTGCCCCATCTGTCTTAGAGCTTAAAAACCACAGACACTCCTAATTAAAACAATATATGAAGTTGAAGAGAATACCAAAATTACAGTCATACTGTAAGTCGCGGGAAAGGGGGGGGGGGGGAGACGATAGGGTTAGTTTTACATTAGTCTCCCCAAACAAAGTAGGTCACGTTTCATTGACAAGTTTGTTGGGCTGGTCTACTTTCCTGCAGGTTACGGGTGTGCCGCTTACGTTTTTGCCTGAGAATGCCTGTGACATAGGTTGCAGCACTCTTCTATTGGGGGATGTGTTAGACACAGTTTGTCCATGTTTTTAAAGTGTTAAAAGGGCTGGCGTGCTAAAATATACAACATGCGATATCAACAGAATTGAAAAAAAAAAACCTTACCTTGTGCCTAGACGCGTGGCTCAAGGTCTGCCGATCAGAAGTGAGCTAGTGCGTAAAACTGTGTAAATGGAAAGACTAACGTTAGCTGTCTGACGACAGAAAACAAAACTGCCACTCTAAGTTTTTTTAAAAATTACATAAGGTACAGTTCAAGGCAAGGGATAGACTCGAATAGGATAGCGAATGATGCCCGCACATAATTTTCGGCGTGGCACATGATGATGATTACATTTCCAGGAAGAGAATAGCGCTCGGGGAATTTGTGGCTGAAAAGAGGGCGGTGGGCCAAACAAGCTTTA